CCCCGAGAAAAAAAGCCAGCTTTCGTCCTGTGTTCCCCCCCCCCCCCCACACACACACAGACGGGTTGGACTGAGCAGGATAAACTTCCATGCACAAACCCCAGTCTGGAGTGCTCCTGCATCCTCCCAGCTCCCGAGAATGGAGCCCTTGTCAATCAAGGGTCTTGAGTTTGCGAACACCGTTGGGTGTTCCTCTGAACAGACTCTTTACCCTCAGATTATTTTGCCCTCCATTGACTGGGAAAAAAGGATTAAAGGAGTCGTGTTTGCGTCTTACGCTCATACTTGTGAAAAGCTCAGAAACCAAAACCGCTGCCTTGTCTGTTTCTGTCTCTCACGGCGTCTTCAGATGAGAGGCCCGAGCGAGTGTGGGTAACTGAGCTGAGACATAGGCCTGCTGACCGTCCTGTCCTGTTCTCCCCCTGGGTAAAATTACTGGTTTATTGTCAGGGTCACCTCGACCTCACTGCGTGTTAGGTTTATAATGGTTTTTAGGACCATGGTTTTATGTAGGAACATTATCTTCCCTGCCCCCAAACTCCTGACTCTTGGTAAATAAGCTCCCATTCTTCAGAGTGAGAGGTGGAGAATCTGTGATCGGAAAATTGAGTGGCGTTCTAAGCCTGAGGTTGTGGGGCTTCCACCCCAGCCCATTCTTAGACAGCACATCAGACGTGGTTCTGGTGGTCAGTTGGTTAGCGTGGTTCTGGTGTTCAGTTGGTTAGTGTGGTTCTGGTGTTCAGTTGGTTAGTGTGGTTCTGGTGTTCAGTTGGTTAGCGTGGTTCTGGTGGTCAGTTGGTTAGCGTGGTTAAAGAGCAGAGGGAGAGGGTGCTGTTGGCCTGCTGTAGAGCCTGGCTGTAGTCAGTGAAGGTTGGTCATCCACCCAGAGGGCACAGCCAGGACGCAAGAGCACTTGGTGACACGCTCAGTCGGCATGTGGTGGGAAGTTTTGTCCTGTTTTCTTTGGAAGTCACACCAAACTCATCATGTAGCCGGAAGCTGGCAGCAGATCCACTTTGTCTGTCGCTGCGGTTAATGTGTGTGGCGACATTCTGCAGCAAGTAGAGTCAGCTGCATAAAGGAAGGTAGGACTGCCTGGCGGCTTTTCACGGGTCAGTCACGTCTCCCTCTGGGTACACTGAAGCGAGCTTCTGGAGTGCTCCGTGTAGACAGCACGTGAGTGTGGGCATTGTTACCGTGATTTAAAAAACAAAAACCTTCTCAACGTCATCTATTTCTCTCTGTGTGTGTGCGCGCGCGTGTGTGCGTGTAGGTTAGAGGACATTTTGTGGACACTGGTAGTGTCCTTCTACCATGTGGGTTCTTGGGATCCAGCTCAGGTGGTCAGGCTTTACTGGCAGGAGCCTTTACCCACAGGCCAGCTCGCCAGCCTTGTTGCAGTGATCTTTTCCCCCCAGTGGAAAATGGAAACTGTTCAACTCTTCCTCTTTCATGAGAGTGCAAATCATACAGGGGAGTGATCATGTGACAGGCGTGTGCCGTGGGCAGAGGAAACTGCCTTTGCTCCTGAGGTTTGTTGAAGATGTGGAATATGAACCCCTCTGTCACAACACTAACTCAAGATCTCCACAGAGTGACTTTCCTGGGTTTTCAAAGGTGGTTGTCTGTGCCTCCTCCAAAATCATCATTCATTGAGTAAGCAGATGTTGTCACAACACAAACGATTAGAAAACTGCTTCTCAGAATTCCGTAGAATGTACAGAGCTGAGACTGAAAAGGAGCGTCCAGTGTGGACCTGGCTGTGGACTCGGGCCTGACGGCCCTGCTTCTCAGCAGACATCTCTAGAATGGATTAGGAGTGGAGGGTGTAAGGTAAGGTGGGGCTAAGTCAGTGGTAGGAAAGGTTGGAGGTGTTGCTATCTGCGGTTTTCCCAGTGCATGGCCCATGACATACCAGCACTTGACAGTTAGAGGAGAGTCTCGTATGTCTAAACACTTGAAGTGAACCGAGCCTCTCCTACTTGGGTGAGTAGCACTGTTAACTAACCTCCCATAGGTGAGGTTGACCAACAGAAACACCAGCATGTGTCACTGATGAGATCGGAGGCTTGAACCCAAAGCATCAGACTTGCACTATGGAAACTTCCAGGGTCTAGTCAGTTCCCTTTACCACCCCTCCACGCTGCTGTCACAGCTTGAGACGTGTAAATTAGCAGTCTGTCTTGGAATGACTTCTTTGCCTGTCACTTGCAAAAGAAAAAAAGCAGAAAAATCTTCACGAATGGAACACGTGGCATGGCTACCTTTGACAGCTAGCCGCCATACCATGTGGTTCACTCTGCTTAATATGTACCCAGACTGAGCTGGAGAAGGCCGGAGCCTGAGTAAGGAAAGGAAATCCTTGACGTTCTCCTGGAGCGTGGAAGTTTGAGGCGACTTTAGGTGCCTTTCCTATATTTCAGAACCATTTCATGGCATAATTTTCCCCCAAAAGAACATAACCTGAGAGAATTGATAGGTTGTAAACATAATGATCTGGAAGAGAGGTGTCTGCTTCCTGCATTTCCAACGGGTGGGAGGCCATCTGCTTCTCCATATGGAAGTGCTATCCTCTCCTGTGCGGACGCCAGCCTAGTTAGAAGCCAAAACAACAGGAGGAGACAGCCTGGTTCCTCCTCCTTTACCTCTGAGAGAATTAATGAAGCTCATTCTTTATTTAGAGTTCAGATTTCCTGTTGTAGCTAAGGCCGCAAAATTCCCTATGACCACCTGAAAAATCTGCCTGTGAAGTCTCCCTTAGTGAATGGTGTAAATGAATCAATTCAGCGTTCTTCTGAACGAGTGTTTTCATTTTGTTTTGCACAGTATAGATCAGTAAACTTAGTTTTAAATGGTCCCCTGAGACCCAACATGAGTTAGTCTTCCTCTCAACTGGTACTTTTGGAAAGGATTTTGCGCTGGGAGGGCAGCTCAGTGTTTGCCTCACAGAGGAGGGGCTGGCGTTCACCCCAGGCACCACAGAAAGCAATGCCTTTCTCAAACCCTTTGTCTGCCTCTTGTTTTAAGACTTGACTGACTCCGTGGATGATGAGTGCTTAGTGAAACTGCTGAAGGGATGCTGCCTCAAGAACTTACAGCGGCCCTTGCAAGCTGAGCTCTGTTTCAACCACGTTGTGGAAAGGTAAGAGCCAGCCTGGGGATGAGTTGTGGCTCCGGGGGACTCTCTGGGACAAAGTGATGTGCCAGGCCTGTATCATGCACACAGCTACGGTCTGCACGGAATGCGACTTGATGTACTTCCGCTCAGGGTTTAAAGATGACCCGTTTCTTGTATGGACGGCGATCCTCTTTTATAGCATGACAGTGCTACCCTGATGAGAGGTGGAGCAAGGGCGAGGGCCTGTGGGGAACCGCTGGCCGCTGGGAGTTCTCACTGAAGGCCTAACTATGCGCTTTGCACAATGTGGGCCCCGTAACGGTGGACCCTACCACTGTTCATAAAGAACTGGAAGCCGCATCTAATGTCAGATCTCCTGGTTTTTAAACATTGGCTCATTGTTTTTATAAACCCTGCAAAGATGGAGGCCATACAGTGCCCTTTGTCACAACAGTATTTATGAGAATGTAGGGCACAGTATCTAGTTCCCAAATAAGATGATCTACTGTATTTGGTGAACACACTAAAGAACTATCCATGCGGTTCTAGTTTATTGGTGTTTTCCTGAGGCTCAGGGGCCAGTGACCACAGTGACCTGTGTACTGCTTGCTTTGTTATATTGACTCTCACAGGGAGTCATTTGGGTTAAATCATGGAAGAGTTTTCTTTCCTACTCCCCTTACTTTGGCTTCTGCCAAAGCCACTGCCGTGTTAATATCCTGTTTAACAGTTTTTGGATCTCTTGAGCAATGTAAATCTGAATTGTAAATTTCTGTGAGGCCCGGCCTGTTTGTTGTTAATTTCCAAAGAGATGTGTTTTGTTTTTTCTTGGTGTCAAAAGGGCAGGCAAAAGGAGGCCATCATCTGTCTTGTTTCTTACCCGTGAGTGGCTTTCTTTTCATCTGCTTTCTCCAAGGGACAGAGTCTACCTTCCGAGCTTAGGGGGTTCAGCTCCAGCCCCTGCTTTCTATGGGACTGGGCCTGATCTCCTGTGTGGCCATTGAGCTCAGCGTCTCGGGCCCTCTGCAGACCCCAGGGCGCCTTCAGCACAACTAGTCTTGCTGTCTTCCTCTTGCTTCTTGGCATCCGAGAGTAGTTTGGGTTATAGCGTGGTAAGCTGAGCTATAGATTACTATCATTGTTTAATTTATTTTCAACTTTATTTAAAAAGTTACAAATTTATTTAAGTTATACATTTATTTAAAAGGTTACAAATAAAAATAAAAATCACACACTAAAGTTTACCTGGCACAAAAACTATGCAAGTCAGTGAACAGTCAGAGTAGCCATTCAAAATGGAAGCTGTGGGGTTTCACATTGGATTTTATGCTTTTAATAATCAATATATTTTTGTGTACTTAGCCACCACCCAAAACGGAAAATCCATTACAGTTAGAAGTAGAGAAACAGTTTGCTCTAGATTTAAAAGGCTGTTTGTTACTCAGGCTTTTTCCTGAACTTCTGGTTTTCATAATGATGCTGAGACAGAACCCCCAGCCACAGAGTCATTGATGTTTTGAAGAATTCTAAGACTTAACTAGAAAGGAAATTGATGCCTTGTTAAACACAAAACGAATGAGACTTCCTTATCACTGAATTTAGAGTCACGTGCTCATGAAGATGCCCTTGTCTTCTCGAGGTTCATCTGGAAGGTCTCTGTGTGTATTGATCTGCCTGAGAGGCAGTGCCACACCAGTGCTGGCCGTCCATTAAGGAACAAAAGATTAGTGTATGGAAGCATGCTTCAGTCCATAGGCTGTTAAGTACCATATCTGTGTGACAGCGGCCTTCCTCTGGTGATAGTCTTAGTGTTGTCTGGGAAATGAAGAATGACACGTGTTTCAGATGATACTTTCTGTGTTCTGTTAAGACCTAACTGATGTTCATTTGCCCTTTTAGTGAAAAGCTACTGAAGTATGACCACTATCTGGTGCCATTCACTCTGTTTGAGTTGGCACTTTTGTATAAAAGCCAAGGGGAAATTGACAAGGCCATAAAGGCCCTAGAAACTGCAAGGTGAGTATGGACGGTCACTTTGTCCTGGTGACAATGCAGCAGCAGCAGTGACATCGCACTCCATGACGCTAGTGAGCTAGTTAGTGCAAGTCAGCGTGACTGCTTTTGCTAACTTGGGTGTGGTTGTGCACGTGGGCTTTTCCTGTAGTTGTGCCGTTTCGAGCCTCTCAGTCCATCACTCTGGGACTAACTAGAGATGTTATGTGTGCACCCAGCTGACCAGCTTCAGCCTATTGTCTTCTGTATTAGGAGTCAGCAGCCTTTTCTGAAAATGGCCAAGCAGAAGGTATTTTGGCCTTAGAGTGAGTATTGGTTTTAGAGTGTAAGGCGTTTATTGACTACACTTAATATATTGTAAGTGGCTGTAGTGTAGAAGATAAGTGAACAATGGGTGTGACCAGAGCTGGTCTTTGCATCATAATTTTCTGACCAACAGATATTGTCACATAAATCATATCTGCCATTTCCTTCAAGAACCTCTGATCGTGTGAGACTCTCCCCCTGCATTCATTCCTTCCTTCTATGGTAGCTCTAGTGTCTCATCATTTCTGCTAGATAGTGACTCAGATTGTGATCATGGCCCACTTCAGCAAGGCAAAACCCTGCAGTCTGTTTGTCTGGAGCACTTGGGGCAGTGGAGAAAGAATGCCATAAAAACTCTAGGTCAGTGAGTGTAGTAGCTCACACTTGTGATCCATACTGTAATCCCAGGCAGCATTGCCACAAGTGAGAGGCTAGCCTGGGCTACAGAGTGAGACCTTGTGTCAAAAACAGACAGACAGCAAACAAAACCAAAAACCAAAGCCAAAACTTGTAGGTCATAAATAGCTTAGTTGATTTCTGGTTTATTTCTTCAGATTCACTGAATGCCCGTCTTATGCCAGTTACAGTGAAGGCCATGGAGAGGCTGCTGTAAACTCAGCAGGGAATGCTCTGCAGGGTTAGCTCGAAGAAGATACCAAGAATTGAGAGTAGTCTGATGAAATGTCCAGTGTCTGTCTGGGGCACCTGGATGTTAATGGAGTTGAGATTCTTGGGAGGAGGTGATAATTGACACCAGCATTAGTTACCTCCTTTGGGAAAGATCGGTCACTGGGAGGCTGTGTAGGGAGCATCCTGCACAAGACGTGGCTGTAGCTTGGTTAGTAGGTGGACAGTGATACTTTTTTCCTGACTGGTGAACACTCAGAGCAATGGGTTTTTGTAAAGAAAGTATTCTATCTCAGGGCTATAATACTTGGAGGTGGCTGCTAGATATCCACATGGAGAGGGTGAGCTGATGAGGAGATATGCAGCTGTGTTCAGTGCTAAAGTCAGGGTCACATGGATACAAACCTCAGTCTCCAGCACAGAGAGAGCTGCTCAAAGCCATCATTCCTGAGGTTGTTAAGCTACAGAGCAGGAGGTGGAGGTCTTGTGCAGTGTCTGGAACATTCCAGTCTTGAGATTAAGCCGTAAGATTTCAAGTCAAACATCTTAATGAGACTAAGTGGAGTTAAGAGGACGGCAAGTTGTTGCTGTTTAATTTTTTCTACATATGTCAAGCTTGACTTACGGTTGTTCCAAATGGTTAAGTACAACATATGGCTCAGAGAGTTGAGAGCGTGCCCACAGACCTGAAGACCTGAGTTCTGTTCTCAGAACCTACATAAAGGTAGAAGGAAAGAGCCAACTCCAGAGTAGTCCTCTGACCTCTTCACAGGCTCTGTGGCATGAGTACCCTACCAATACATCATATACACATCCAATAATAATGATGAAATCAACATGAAATCTCTGAACTCATACAACTGGTTATCAGCTAAGAAGCGTTCAAATATGAAAATCCAGAAGTTAGAAAGTAGTGAGAATGGGTGCTAAAGAGTGCAGCCGCCAAGAAGTTGAGCAACATAAGAAGACCAAAGCTCTAGCGGTCATGTGTGACCTTGACAGGGAGATGAGGAGAGGAATGGAGTCAGTGACTGTGGTGAGGTGGTAGGCATGTTTGCTGTGAATACAGTGTAAAAGGGGAAGAAGCTTTAGGGACATGGCGCCACCAAGTTTCTTCTAAAAGATACATGGACAGTGTAGGAAGAAGCTGCTTTAAAAGGTTAACTTGTTGGACATGAGGACAGCTGACGTTTTGGCTGTGGTGTCTGTACATAATCACAGGAATCTGTGGGGACACTGCACTGTGCACCTTCAGAGGAAGCTATGGGGACACTATACCTTCAGAGGAAGCTATGGGGACACTGTGCATCTTCAGAGGAAGCTGTGGGGACACTGTGCATCTTCAGAGGAAGCTATGGGGACACTGTGCATCT